CTTACACCATTCTGACTTAGAATTTTTATCTCTTCGCAAAACTCAGCAAGGAAATTATTAACATGGGATGGCTTACTCATTCCTGAGAAGCAGGCAATAGTAAATGTGACCGAATTAGGAAAAGCTTCTACATGCCCCAAAATGGGCCACAATGCCCTATTAGAGCTTTTAAATAATTTCAAACCATCTATACCGACATCTATTGAAATTCTTTCCGTATTTTCTAAAAAATCAAAATCTTTGAAATTAAAATTATATTGTATTCCTAAATACAAAAATTCACCTTCAGGAAAAGGTCGAATTTGAACTATTTTTCTACTTGTACCAAAAATGATTCTTGCAGTTAAAGGTAACCCGTTAAGTCCGGCATTATGTAAGGTTTGTAGGAGGTCCGTTAGGCTATTTTGCGAAATATTATTTTTGATTGCCCACGCTTTTAACCCCCTACAAATTTCCTCGCTTAGGTTTTTGTTTGCAGATTCTTCAGTGCTATCATCACTTTCGACATCTTCAAACAAAAACCTGTCATCATCGCTATTATATTCATCGGTATCTAATTCAGGAAACACTTCCATAGTGCTGGACGTTAGATCACTATTTATTCCGCGGCAAAATGCTTCTCTACTCGTGGACGGAATATCATCGCTTTCTAACCCAGAAGTCGGTTCATTCAGTTTGCGAAACTTCGCAACTGTTGCTTTATAATAAGCTTTTTCCTTACTTATAAGGTTAGAAAGCGTTCTTTTATGCATACCGTAATAAATAATGGTGTAAAGGTACGATCTAATAATAATTCTATTAATAATGATAATAATAGCAATTAAAGTAGTAATATAAATAATAATATTATAATACTATGCCTGCAAAGAACATATAAAAATAAAATTTGATAAAAAATAATATATAATAAAAAATATCGCAACAAAACCAAAAAAAAACTTCATTGAAACGTCTATATATTATGGCCATAGGCAAGTGTATCCACATATCGTCGTTTAAAGTACAAAACCGCGTATCAAGATAATGCAAAACCGCGTATGTGAGGTTGCATAAATTATATTCCAGAGCGTAAAAACTCTCATATGTCAAAATGGTTTTCTTTTTTGTAAAGCAATCGCATTTCTGGCTAGTATATTTCAGAACGAATGGATAAGGCTTGAGCCAAGAGCTATTTTTAGCTAATCCAATTTTTGGCAAAAAAGGTAATTTACGCGGCTTTGCAGAGCGACGATACGCGGTTTTGTACTTTAAACGGCGATATGTAGCTCTACATATTGTGCCGTATGTATGCTAATTGTACATACATAGGTTGCACATATCGTACCTAGACAAAAAGAAAAACTTATTTCCAAAACGCGTTAAGTCCAAAATAGCACCCCCATAACATGCTAATTGTATGTTGCACATATGTACATATCGTCGCTGGAATAATGAAATAGTGTAACATGAAAAGTATAGTTTTGAGAAAAACGAATTGGAAGTTTTTATAAACCATTACAAACCATACAAATACAATTTGGTTTTTCGGGAATAGATTAGTGAGCCAAAGAGATATTTAAGAAAACTAAACATTTTTCAAATGGATTAAAGGATTGTCTATCCAATAGTGCAATTATCGAATAAAAGTGTATTTGGCATTTACACTGTTTCTTTATTCGAGCGACGATATATGTATACATATTTCCACTGCACTTTCCTCTTTTTACCTACATACGTATGTACACATGTACGTCGTTGCAGCTGCGCTTTGTACAAAGGTACTTGCACTTCACTTTCTTTTGTTTAACTGCATACATATCTACACACTTATGCAGTTGCAACTATTTCCACACATATGTATGTATACAATGTAGGTACCCAGCCAGCATTTGGTCGATGCAACTACAACAACTGATGCAAATGCAGCGGATGCAAATATTGTTCCTGACCGAAAATGTCGGTTTTTAAAAACGCATCAATAATATACATATACATATAATAATTTACATTAAACTCAGTTGGCACAAATTAAGTAAATTTGCTGTTAATTGGAATTAAAAGAAACTGATTTTTATATTGTTGCGCTTAGAAAAACAGTCATTCTACTGGACTTTTCACATTTATTGCACCACACTTTTTGCTGTTTACATATCTACCTAGTTGCACTTTTAACATACAAAAGTACATACATATTTGCATTGCACTTGGAGCAACCGCGTTTCTTAATATTTAAACCATTCATGCCCAACGTCGGCAGAACTCCATAAGCAAATACCCTGCGCTGGCAGAATTCCATATGCAAGTGCCCTGCGCTGGGCATGACTGATTTGAACAATAAAACTCATCGAACAATGTAGCTGGTATGATGTAGGGTTGAGAGCTGTTGGTGACCAATGGTGTTCAGTGTGCTGTGGATGTCTTTGCAGATGTTTGGCAATCTAAAAGAAATAATTACATTATAATCAAATGAAACTGTTAACAATGGTTAAAGGCTGACTTCCATATTGGTATATTGCAAAGCATCAGCCTCGTTTATTTCTAAACTATAACTGATGGAAATGACCAAATTGCCCAACTAAGTTCCAATTCGGCGTTTGAACATGGTTGCGCTTATTGCACTTTTTCATTAGTTATATTTAGTTTAGAAATAAAAGAGGCTATGCTTTGCAATATACCAACCTGGAACTCAGCCAAACTATGTTAAATTGGGAAACTTTAGTCTTCTTACCTTCAAGGTTCTGATGGCTTAAGTCTCCTGCTGATGTTTGGCTATCTATGGATATATAAAATATACATATATGTATTTAATAAAAGAAAAATTACATTTAATCAAATTAAATCGCTTCTTACCTCCAAAATTTTGCGCGAAATTGATGTTTTTCTTCGCAGCCTACTAGAATCAAATTTGAAATTCGCTGTCAAATTTCGCCTGATTTTCACTTGCTCGCTCTAACGCATATAATTCTTATTAAGAGTGCGAATTCTTATAGCTACGCTGCTCTTACTTATGGAAACTTTTTTCGACAACTTTTGAGTGTGTGGGTGAGATGACAAAAAAGTTGGGTATGTGTTGGTAAATCATTTGAATTTCAGGGGAAAGTGGTGAGCCGTGGCTGGCAGGGTTTTTAATATGTTTTCTGTCATATAAAAAACAAACAACACCTCACTTGTTATTGAATTGTCTTTCAAAAAATAACGTTTAATAAACAAATTCTCTTAAAAATATATTATGTGCATGTGCATGGGCTGAAATTTGTACAAAAATCGGCTCACGCACATGTGCATGTGCTTAATAACAAACAGCACACACTTTTCTGTGAGCAGAGTTTGTTTTCCACTTATGCACACACATGTGTATGAGCAGTGAGTGGCGTGTGTGTGAGCAGAGCATGTGTGTGCAAATACGAACCCTGCTAAATTCTGTACTTATGAGTGTCTAGAAACTTAAAAGCAAAAATTACCATCCACTTAAAAAAAGCAAAATATACTTAGTGGGCTTTGATTTTGGTCAAAATAATAAAATGCAAAATTTAAATAAGGTATCATTGAATAAGATGCATTCAGAGGAAACCCCGTTCTTTGCTGACGAAGGTGGCTTCAAAGTCAAGAAGGATAACATCCATTAACGACAGTTTCGGTAACCAAGCCGTGTATGATATAATTATGTGGAATGGAATGGCGAGAAATTATGGTAGGACAGAAAACGAAAAATGATTTTCTGTTAATCACTCAGATGTAGAGTTGCCCGTTGTACTTAAGGCCTGAAGGAAGTATTGAGAAAATAGAGGAAAAAAGGTGGACGTAAGAAATCATTAGTCCTCTGCAGATGTATGTACCAGGCTCTTTTATGAAACTTGCTAGTTTCTAGATTCCAGGGCAAGATAATACGGCTCGCCCATCCAGAATACATGTGACACAAAAATGTACATCTCTAAAGAAAAAACTCTGTGCCATTCACACCCTCCAAGTAAAATGTTCACAGTGGGTCATAAATGATAACTATGCTGACCAAATGAGCCTTTTATTTGGAAAATGGCATAAGTCATTTCATGTCGTTTGACTTCAGTGATATTTATCTCAATCTAAATGCCTCTGTTATTCATACAATTTCATCAGCCAAAGGTAACAAGTTTCGTGGCCTATCCTGGGGTACCCACATGAGTTCAAGCTTGTTTAATTTTGCAACGCAACTCAGCCTCAAATTATATTCCTAGAATATTGCACACATACGCAAACATTTGCACACAAGTGGCTGTACAGTGTACAATGACAAATTGTCTAATTCACTTAGTCGAGTGAATTTTTTAACAATGAAAATCATATGTCATCATTATTAACACCAAAATGATTTCACTTACCGCTACAATGCGCGCACATATGTCAGCAATGTTGGTGTGGCTAGTATGAGACGTACATATGTATGTATGTAATGCGAAGATTTCAGGGTCCGAAAAGCGAAGGAAGGGAAGCAACGGAAGTGCATTAAAAACATTAAGCGGATAATTTCCAAATAATATCATAATCATAAGCGAACGGAGGAAACAACAACAACAAGTTGTGTGATTTTTTCTAACCACCACCACAGCAGCAGCTACAACCCTTAGCCGAAAACAATGAAAAGTCAACCTGCCATTTGCGTCTGAAATGTCGCACTTGGCGCAAATGGAATTTTCATTCATTTCAAAAAAAGTTTGAGAAAAAGAAGTAAAACAAAACAAACAAATGTCAAATTGTTGTTGATTTTATTTCGAGTTGTATGCTTCTTCCCCTTTCCTTCGATTGGCTTGCCTCGCCTGCCCTGTGCCATAAATCCCTGCGCATTTTATTAAAATAATGAAATTTTAAAATTCCACACACCAAACCCAACAATAATTTTGATGTGCTTGCTGCTGCTCAGCTGGCAGCCGGTGGTTATCCTTCTTTCTCTCCCTCGCAACACCGCCACACTGCCTGCCGTCATCAGCGTCATATGCTTGTCAGCGTGCCAGCTTTTTGTTAGCCTTTTTGCTTTTGTGCTTCCTGGCACTCCATTGCCTACTCTGCTCTCTGCCTCCTTACCCTTTCTCCCCCTCTCTACCTATTCATTTTTCATGTCAAGCGCGCAGTCATAAAACAAAGCAATTGGAAAATTATACACTTGTTCGCCGAAAAGTATGCACTTAATAACCGGAGATGCTGGGGGCGTACGCCCTCTTTTTCACAAAGCAAAATAATTTTGCATATTAATGCCATTCAAAGCAGCAACAACAATAACAAAGCTCGTCCTTCCATGCGTGTCGGAAATTTTAAAGTCCTTTGAGGGTTGACAATTTTTGAAGCATTCACTCTGCCTCAGCTCCGCTTGCCTCATATTTTTAGTGGTTGGCCTAATGTATACTGGTGTTGTTCTTCTTGTTGTTGTTGCCTATCAAAGGCGTTTATTTTATTAGTGTTCAACCGAGTTTATTCAATTTTAATACGCATTGCCGTATGAAATCTCGCTCGAGGTGCATAATGCTTTTGTCGGCTTACAGCGCTTTACAAGCGTCCTTTGGCTTTCATTTTTCATTTTTTTCATGTCTTTAAATAGAGTTCGCTCTTTCGCTTTGTTGTGTATTTTTAATTCCCAAATGCGCACTTGTTTAACGCTTTCAACGCATTTTTCTCCGTCCTCTTAAGCTCTTCTCATAATAAATTCGTAATGAAATTGAATTTTCATATCAGTTTATGTGTGCGCGCGTGTAACATACTTTTGGGCGTATTAACCAGCTGCGCAGTTTGTTCGCTTTGTGTTGTGTACTTTTGCATTAATCGATATCAGTCGCTTAGTGCTTTACCTTTGGGATTTGACAGACGTTCATGTGATGAGCTAAATATGATTTGATTTTAAAATTTAAAGTTTCATAATAATGTTATTGAGTTTCCAAGATGAGATTGGAAGCTGACCGATTCACACTAAATATAAACATTCTATTTCGAGCGAATTATATATTTTATTAACTTAAGTGAATATAAATCAATATTTTAGTATCGTCTTGGATAAGTTAGAAAATGCAGAAATACAGCACGTACTCCAGGGATTGCATTTTTCGCGGCTAGTAAAAGCCCCTTCCAATGAATAACGAAAATAAAGCCTCAGATGAAGCCCCACCACCCCCTTTTTTTGACGACCACAGCCACGTTTACAGGACTACAATATGAGGGCATTCACTTGGAATGTCCGGACCCTTAATGGCGAAGGTACCTCTGCCTGGCTGGTCCTCGTAAAGACAAAAGCTGACATTACCACTATCCAAGAGAAAAGCGTTGCAAGGTTGCAAAAAGGTGCAAGGCAAAATTGTTTGGGGCCTTGCGACGTCTACTACGGCTGGCATGTAAAGGAGCGCAAATTCGGAGTTGGATTTGTGGTGGGAGAGAGACTGCGTCGCCGAGTACTTTCGTTCATCTCGGTGGACGAACGTCTACTCACAATCCGCGTCAAAGCGAGGTTCTGCAACATCTCGCTCATTTTCGACAACGGTCGACGGAATAGAAGGACATAGCATGCAAGTATGTCTTTTATGAGCGCTGCCTGCGTTGCGATATAAAAATCGTGCTTGGTGATTTCAGTGAAACGCCAGATAACGGACTGAAGCTGATCGACTGCGCCGGGGCCCGAAACATGATAGTATGCAGTACTAGGTTCAAGCACAAAAAGATCCGTCAAGCTACTTGGCTGTCTCCAGTTCGAAAAACGAGAAACCAAATCAATAATGTTTTGATAGACAGAAAGCACTCTTCCAGTGTTTTAGATATATATATATACTCTCCGAGTGCCAAACATCCACTCAGACCACTTTCTTGTTGCAGCCAAGATACGCACCGCCTCTATGCAGCAAGGAAAGCTTAACGTCAAAAAGCTGCCGATTCGCGGGGGTAATTCGTAGGGTGTATAATCGCTTATGTATATCAACTTCGCCTTACTAGATATGAAGAAAGGCCGTTGTTCGCAGACGGCTTAATCAGCAGACTCAGGTACCCTTACGATTTGATGTGGGTATCTGGCAGTTTACACTTCACTAGAAGTGTTACGGTCTATAGGGGCATTGAAGCCTTATAAATCACCGGATGACATCGCCCCCATACAGCTGCAGTAAACATTGCAGAAAAGCTCAGGGTGGCTAAATATATGCAGTATTTAAGGGAGTATTAGCTCTTAATTAAGTCCATAAGGGTTGGAGGGAATCGAAAAAGGTATTCATACCCAAAGTGGCGAAAGTTTTCCACAATAATCCAAAATATTTGAGGCTCATCACCTTGTCATCTTTTCAACTGAAGGTTATGGAGAGACTGGTGGAGGTTCATATGCGGGATCTACAAAGACGGCTACATGAATAACATCATGCCTGAAGCGATAACGGCAGTGTTTACGGGCCTAGGCATCGACTTGCGCTTGGTTGAACTTATAATCCAAATGCTGCGATACAGGGTTGGTTCCAACGGAGCTGGCGGGGATTTCGTTCGTAGAGAGGGGCTTAACTTTGTCATTATATTTAAATTAGGAATTAATTTTATACCAGAGAATGATAAAGCAGACGAACGTGCAAAAGGAGGTACTTCCATTCCATTTTCACCAGCCTGGAAGAGAATAGGTATGCCACTCGCTTGCAGCAAACTCTTACTAAGAGAACATTTCCTTGAAGAAGCGGATACCAGTTGGGAGCTAACGGAAACTTGCAATACAACGAAGCTTACGTGACCGAAATGGGATGTAAGGGGATCGAAAGAAATTCTGACACTCAATAGAAGCGATATATCACTGGCCATTAGCTAGCCCAAAGGACTATGCTGGCATAAAGGCATGCAGAACAGGGTTTGTATTTGCACACACATGTGCATCCTAACATTTTAAGCTCACAAACGTGTGCTGTGCATATAAAAAATTAAAAATTTGCTCACATCACATGTGTGTGCCGTTTGGTAAACAGCACGGGCACATGTGTGTACTTTCTTTTTATTAATGTAAAGCACACGCACATGTGTGTGCTATGCGTAGAGAAACTTATACACTTCGAATTCTAACTCAAATCTTAAAATAATTTTTTAATATGTTTTCTGTCATATAAAAAACAAACAACATCTCA